TCCTCATGTCCGTTACATGCGTTGGAGGTCCATATGAAATTTTTCTTATAGTGATAGCTACTCTCTACATTCCGTTTTTGAATTCTAGTGTGCCCTTTATAATACAGATCACCATTTTTGTACGAAAAACTTTTTGCCAGTAAAAGTCCAAGATACCTGATAGATGCACTGGATATAATTTCTTCAGATGTCAGTAGGAGAAGCACTACACTCTGATTGGAATGTGGTTTGCCAGCCAAGGAGTATGGCTGTTCTTTGCCTATCTGTACGAATTCCGCAAATGGCGCACACTTGAGTTTGTTTGGATGGCGTCGTTATTGTTTCTTGTTGTTAACTGTTATATCATGGCCAAGTTGAGACGAAGGTATCGGGAGAGCACAAAGACTGCATTGAAAAGCAAGGTAAATTAGTGGCAGTGTCTTGAAGGAGGAACTAGACTATGTTCACAGGTATGGCTTGGCACATTTCAACTGAGAAGGGAAATATGATGTACGTTATCAATAGAATAATTGATTATCCAAGGGTTATTTTTTCTCGTTTTGAATTCCCAATAATAATTTTTCAACTTGAATCTCTAATCACCTGATCTGATCAGTTCTGCGTGCCCTTTCAACATGACGATTATAAGCCCGGTGCTATATGCCCATTTTTATTGGTTAGATTGGAGCTCAATTGTCTGTATATTCGCATTCAGTATAAGTCACAATGTTCGTGATATCTGTTTCACATTTTTTTAATTTGGAGTTGCAATTTTTTTCTCAACGTTCTTCCGTTTCCATCGACTGATGTAGCCTCCCATGACCGTTCAAACCATACATTCGCGTTTTCGTTGTGATGAAATACATTCCGTTTTCCAATTCGCTTCCCTCTAGTATTATAGTCATTGATGTTTTCCGGTACTAAATGTTTCACTGTGTAACAATCTGTGTCAGACAAATGTTCGACTAAAAGTTTTACACATTCGCGAGTAGTTTGTTGTTATTGGATTTTATGAGCTGGTGTGTTATTTCACGTACATTCACTACGGTCGCTTTTATAGTCGTTCGTACGAATGTAAGGATCGCACTGCGTTAGATACGTATCGAATGTCCAAATTGTCCGATTGATACGTATGTAATGCATTGTGTTGTTACGACCGAGCGACGACTACGAAAGTGCCCGAGGTGACACTTTTCGTGTTTGACGATTTTGTAGATACTCTGAAAAGTAGAAGCCCATATGTGATCTGATTTTGTGTACCGCTTTTTGTGGAATAGAGGAGATATCCAATCTGACATGTGCTTCATCATATTTTCCTATATTGGTCTAGATAAATGTGCAATAAAATATTTTTTGCTATGGCTTCTATGAGTAAGGTTGGTTTCACCCAATATCTGGAACTCACAATGAATGTGTTGCAGAGCTGCTCTTTTAATTCTCGCTTTTTAGGGGAATCCAGCACATACTGAACAGAGGTGGGCAGCTCTCTGTAACACCAAGACCGAGATGTCGACTCGTACTCCACGTATATGGCAGAAAGGAATCCAGAATTATGTCTTCCTTCCTGACTTCTGGATGGCCGTAGTTTCGACTCCCGTCGTTGGACGAAATAAGGTGCCTAGAAACTGTGTGAAATTCGAGGTGGATCCAAGAATGACAAAGCACGATGTGAGGGAATACCTAACTAAGATCTACGACCTTCCGGTAAGAAGTGTCCGCACAGAAGTGCAAATGGGTGATATTACCTGGAGTACACCGCTGGATCCTCAGTACAAAAAAGCAATGTGGAAAGAGAATGACAAAAAATTCGCATATGTTTTTATGAGCAAGGACTTCGAATTTGTTCCTCCGAACGTTCTACCTACTGATGATGAACAAGAACAGCTACAAAAGGCCAGAGAACAACAGGAGAAGATCACTGTGAACGATAGATTCGTGAATCGGGACAGGAAGAAGATTGGAGAGCTGTTAGGTCTTTGAATTGAATTTTTCTTGTGTTCTTCGTTTCCACCTACTTTGTTTTTCGTTATGCCTTGTTTTTGGATATTTTCCTTTGAGATTATATCTCGTCCATTCTTCCTCAGAATTTTTCATACCATCCGTTTTTCAAATATCTCTCTATAGATTTTATTTTGTCAGTTTTCATATGTAGAGTTCGGTACTTTAGGCTTCAGTGTAGTTGCACTGATGGGCGAATTTTATCTCTCCATAATTAGTGAATTCCACATGAGAATATAGTGGTGTTGCATTGCCGTAATGTTGGCTACGTGGAGTATACCTGGCGCTGAATCGTTAGATTTAGCCTCACCAGATACTGTTCTCATTACCGTATGGTCATTGAAATGCCTGACACGCTTCGCATTCGAGCGCCCTATGTTTGTGATTTGGACCTGCGAATTGGTCGTAATTAGAGTGTTTCTATGTATATAGATGAGAGACTTCGTGCGTTAGTTGTTAATAATTATGTCGGTTCAAAAATACAATTGTTTAATAAACCTTGTGCCTTTTTTTAAATACCTAATGTACTTACTTAAGGATTCATGTTCCTAGAGCTTCCTCGTTATGAATCTAAAAAAGTCTATGTTAACTTCGAATCGAGGCGCTTTGATGCAAGGTTTTAAAGCTGCGGTCATAGTTCGCGATAGCGTAACCGCGCGTTGGCGTGATCCTCTGGCTGATGAGCGTATAATGTTGCTGGTCGACGATCTAACAACACAGTCGATTGTGCATTCCCTAGATTAGATAGAAAAATAATAAAATTCTCCCCCCGTAATAAAAAAAAAACTCAACGTGTCATTCGATCACAGCGTGGTGTCGCGGACTATACCGCTGCCCCAAGGGTTTAAACCGAATAGACTTAGTTGACAAAAGTAAAAATTCTTGGATGTTAGCAACAATTGCTGTCCAAATTGAATTAACCACAGTTCTATCGCCATCACTCTTTTGAGAGTCTAAGTTTGATGGTGTCTCTACCTAATCAGGACGAGGGTCTGGGTTGATGGTGAAAGATCATACTGTGAAAAGCCTAATATAGTGAGGTGCCGTCCACAGGAAACGATTCGTATTATGGAATTTGGCCTTGTTTTTCTTTTCAGAGAAATGTACGACCGAGTACAACCTTTGAGGCAATACCACGTAGTATTCTTTTTCTAATGGATTCAGATAAATCGATTAACTTGAAGATTTCTATGGACGTGAGGTCATCGAAGCAGATCGCACTATTGTTGAGCAAAATGCAGGTATTCTACTGTCTCTCAGTTGAACTTATGTCAGATGATGATGGATTTTTGTAAATCTGATAGAGATTAACACAGGGTAAATATACATCGAGAGTTCTTAAGTAAATTGTGGCGCTTGCTTCTTCTACTTTTGACGTTCACTTGTGCAGCCTCCTCCCCCCCCCCTCCACCGGCTCTAATTTTAATGTACCGAATATAATACGCTTGCATATCTGCGTCCCGTCCGTCAACGATCGCACAGAATTGGCTACGTATTCGATCGGTTGAACGCTAAAGCCGATCAAATGATTGATTCGTACCTAATGCCGTGCAATCGTTACGATTGACGACCGACTATTGAAAGTGGACTTAGGTGGGATGGGTAGAAGAGGAAGGAGGATGGGACCTGGGGCGTTTATGGCATGGCGTTTGAAACAAATTCTTTTAACACATATCTCGCCCCGCTGTGGATCCCGTTTTCACCTGACGGCCTCTGTTGCCGCTCTGAGTCATTTAGTCCTTTTTATCCAAATCACTCTTGTTAAGCTTTCGCTACGGCTGTCTGCATGCAATTTCTCTCTGCTGAATTCCAACCTTCACACTGAATTGCTTTAGACGAGATATTAGACGGTGCCGATGTAGATGATGTAGCAATGCTCGTTGTTGGGGATCCGTTTGGTGCCACGACGCATACCGACCTTGTTCTTCGCGCAAAGCAAAGGAATATCCCGGTAAGTTGCTGATACAATCCTTATGGCACCAGTGTGGCAAATGCATAAAGAAAAATGCTCAATGTATTCCTCTAATCAAAACGGTTTTTTCAACATCGCCCAGGAACTACGATTAGTCTAGTAGAGTCTGACGAACGGTTTCGAATATGGAGTTCAGAGAGTGCGGGAAGCTATTTTCAAAACCTTCATGTACCTCTCCACGCTGGTTCCTTTTCAAGCAGGGAACTGTAAGGGTGCCTCAATGGGGCAATGGTCCAAACTGATCCCGCCCCAGCGTTATGCGTGGAATGTGCTCTTCAATAGAGAAAGGTCAGCTAACAAGTTAGTTTGAGCGCATCAATCGTACTGAGTAGTACTTACTCACTAACACTTTTTCTCATTTGGACTATTTAGACAATTGAAAAGGCAAGGGCGTGGAACTCTGTGTGTAGCTACATCAGTCGAATGAGTTTCTATTGAAAAATCAGCTCTCAGTAGAAAACCGTGCATCACTTACTTTTTTGTTATGTTTCAAAAGTAAAGGTTCCAAATGGTTTCAGGTAAAGGTCGTGCACAACACTTCCATAATGAACGCTGTTGGTTGTTGCGGCTTACAGGTTAGCTTCTTGCATTTATAGTAAACAAAATGATGTTCGAAAGTTCAACCCTTCTCTCGAATTTTCTGGAAACATATGGAGAAAGTACTGTAAATTGTAGCTTATCCCTCTAGGCCTCTCGTTCTCCTTGCTGTTTGAAACAGCTTGGAGGCCGCGTTGCTCAGCACGCGCCTCTTCGTTGGGGATCACACGAGCGCTGAGATCGCGAGCTATGAACGCAGTTTTGTAGTGTTCCTAGAACATCTTATAA